AATGAAAGGCGAACAAGGCTATCAAGCGCAAATCTTGATATGCTCCTTTTCTTATATAAAAACATGTAATATTTCTGTAAATAATATTGTAATTTTTAAGAATAAAATTGTTGTTATTTTTGAGAAAAAAATAATTGTAATGTTTGAGAATTAACTTTGTTGTAATTGTTTCAGGCGGGCGGGTTGGGCGCGGGTATGACCATTTTGTTTGCTTTCGGGTACGGATAAAATTTTGAACTTCTGACCGTGGGYGGATCGGGCCGGGTGCAAAAAATTCGGCCCGTGCCCACCTCTAGTCGGAACAACCTATCGTCAACGATGGATCACAATAACATCGACCGCACTCCACGACCGCGCAACTCGAACTCTGCGTGTGTGTGTTTGTGTGTGCGTGTGTCTTGTGTAAGCAGAAAAAAGCGAAAAATGATTGAAATATCTATTGCTCAAAGGGTTAAGGGGATCTCGTAGTCGAGCAGTCTCGACTACAGCTTTCTTACTTGTTTTGTATACGCAAGTTATCGTTCTTTTTATACCTTAAACCCATTTTCAATGGGAAATCAGGGTATRATGGTTTTGTTGAAATGTATGTAACAGGCAGAAGGAGGCGTGGCAGACCCCATAAAGTATATATATTCTTAATCAGGGCGACGAGCTGAGTCGATTTGGCCCTGTCCGTCTGTCTATCCGTCTGTCCGTCCGTGCGTCCGTCTGTCTGTCCGTATGTATGAACGCGGCGATTTCAGAAGATATAAGAGCTAGGACTTCAAATTTAAAAAAAAAGGGCCGTATTTACAGCGCGGATATCGAGTTTATCACTAAAAATCGATAAATCATCCCGATCTTTTTTATCGATAAGAAACCTTATCGAAAATCAGTTATAAAATTATATCACCTACATCTTTGGAGCTACAGTCTCCAAATTTTGAATGTATATTTATATGCAAGTTAACACCAGTCAATGCATAGCACTTCCTCTTCTCCCCTACCATCAACTTGGCGCCTCTGCTGCCGCGACGTCGACGTCGACCTGGAAAACGAAAAGGAAGAGAAGCCGCCGCCTGACGAAGGGCAGTCGGTGGCTGGCAGCTGAACTCGACGAGACGATACTTTTAACAAATACTAACAATTCATTGCGAGATTATAACGATTTAAATCGAACTATTCCGAGATTGTTTTTCTTTTGGTTTATCCGAATCTGGGAAACTAAATAACGATAAGTATAACCCTTGGACGTGGTCGCCACTAGAGTAACAAGGCGTCACGATCGTTAACTNTTCACCGATCCGTTATCCTAACCTGGCAGACGTTTCTGTCTGACGCAGTCTGGGCCCGACAGTAAGTTAGAGCGAGATAAGAATAACAATTGCAATACATGTGAGCGAGAATGTGTGTGAGTACACAAAAATTAGCAGAGAGATGGCACAGCGAAGGTTGGCAGTTTCGAAAAGAGATTGAAAGAGCAAACATGTCGCGGCCCAGAAAGCGTCCGGTTATGGATTTTAATGATATTGAAAGTGCTAATCCGACATATACAATGTTAATGGATACAAAGATTTTGTAATTTACAGATTTTGGATACCACGCACCCTTCGCCACCAATTTGATCGCATTTCAAGTGGTTTGGAATGTACACATATTTTTGCTATGTGATTACGCTCTGAAAGTTTCATTAAGATTGTATGTCTACAAAGATATAAGAATTTTTTTTCCTAGATCCGTGTATATCACGCGCATATCGAGTTTTTCTCTAAATATCGATAACTAACTCCAATATTTTATTATCGATTAAAAACCTTATCGAGAGCTAGTTATTTAATTATATCTCCTACACCTTTGGAGCTATAGTTTCCAAATTTTAAATATAGATTTATTTGTATTTTATACAATTTCGGGTTTTGTTAAAATTTACCCCCTACCCCTATATCCACCCCCTCACCCTCAGCTTTTTAAAAGGCGTATTTCAAATACTAGAGACTTTTTCCTTGGCAAAAACATGCATATCCATGTTATAATCATAATCATGAAGAAAGTACGTTCTAAAGTTCTTATAGAAAGCGCACATGGTGTTTAGGCTTCTGTGCGTGTATGTGTGTGTATGCATGTGTGTGTGTATATGTATGTGTGTGTATGCGTAAGTGTATGTTTGTGTGTAGCTTTTGCTCGAAGGGTTCAGGGGATCTCGTAATCGATCAGTCTCACTAGAGCTTTCTTACTTGTTGGGAATTAATTAACTAAATTCAAAAGTACCTGATATTCCAAGGCCGGAAAATTGTAATATTAAATCAAATATTTGAATCATTGTTGTTTCATCTTGATCCGTCAATGAGCTTAGACAAAACGTGAGTTGCTGTTTACTGAATGCCCAAAATGAATGAGAAAATCCTTTATATGTTTCTCCGTGGTCTTGAGGACTTGTCCTTTGTTCTGCACGTAATTTTTCGATACGATGCTTGGATAGGCGTCTCAGCGTGTTTCGTAAGAAACCGCCTGATTCATGAGGTTTTCGCACTATATTTAAGTCTATTAATTGCCTGCGGCATATAATAACATTTTGATACAATCTGGTTCTATCCTCATTGGTGATTCCTTTTCCTTTTTTAGTGCAATCAAAATTACTTAATATCCAATTTGATAATGATGGATAATATGAAATAATAAGAGCGCCAATTTCATGCTTTTGTACTGTTTCAAATACAAAACATTTTTGCAAATCCAGAAAAATGCTATCATCTTTCGTAAGTCTGGGCGATTGATTAGTAGTGCGATTGAGAGATATTGTAAGAAAACTATCACTTGGATCTATAAAAATTGATTCTATATCTGTATATTTAAACTGATATATAATGACTTTATCTTCAGGTTGAATGAGTAAAACTCCTTCACAATTGATTCCTAAAATTATATTATTGACAAAACTCCAATATCCTTTATAAATTACGTTAAACATGGTTGTTCCGTAAAGTGGGTATTGCATAACACAACTTAAGTACAACACTTTAGCAGTTAATTCATTTCTTGATGATCCATATTGTCGATGTGCTTGAGCAAGAATCGGTATCCAAAACTGTTGTTCTCTTGTTTTAGAAATTCGGTTTGGTAAAAAGCTATTGATATCACAATAATACTCAGGCTTCGGCTGATTAGATGGATCCCCAAGTGCTACCTGTGCTTGCAAACCAGCTAATTGTAAAGCAACTTTTTCACTTACTGGAAATTCATCACACTAAAGAAAATAAATAAATTATTCAATTTTTATGCCGTACATATTTATATTACATATTATTATTAATATTAGTCAAAGAAATAGCGATCAAAATAGTTTTCTTATTTTGTTTGAATACTTAAGAAATATGAATATCTTACCTTTACAATACTGTATACTGCTTGGGCGTACAACATTCCAACTTCAACAGGATCCTGGGATAATTCTCGAGTTGGTTTGAACAATCTTTTTTTAAAGACAAATCTATTTTCCCCGTAAGTAGAAGCATTTGAAAGTCTTTTGTAACTATTAGGCGAGTTTTGCTTAGACTCCCATTCAGAGATAATATCATATAAATATTCAAAGCTTTTTATATGCTCTTCGCCATCTGGACGGGATTGAAATATTGCCCAACCTTCAATTGATGCCAAATTAAGTTTATCTGCAAGTTTCTGTACTGCATCGATAGCTGTATCTGTGGGATGAACGTCAATAGCCTTTGTTCGAGAATCTAAAAAGAAAAATCGACAGACAATTGTGCCGAGTCGTCTCATAGCCTACAAATAAAAACATTTATAAATTTAAATTAGCAACTAAGATCTTTGTAAATATGAAGCTATATAATATGGCTCACTTGTAGTAACAAGAGCATTAAGCAAAAAGAGTTTTACTAGACTCCCATTCAGAGATAATATCATATAAATATTCAAAGCTTTATTACATTTTATACATATGCTCTTCGCCATCTGGACGTGATTGGAAAATTATCACCTAAAATACGCCGCTCTCGACGCATCCGCTTGATGTCATAATGAGTATAACTCATTCACGAAAATGAATTTGTTTTTTTTTTTTTTTTCGGCGCTATTGAAGCTAGGGAAATTCGGAACACATACTAGTGTATTTATTTATTTCTTAAGGATAATTGACAAACATAGAGTCAACTTAAAACAAGTAAGAACGCTCCAGTCGAGACTGCTCGACTAGGAGATAC